TTAATAATAATAATAATAATATTTCAATATTCAATAGATTATTAATTTACTAGTTATTGATATGTAATAGAGGAAAAGAAGAAGAAAAAATATGTAAAATTCAAAAAAAAGAAATAATAATGATATATGATCTATTTATCCGTCATTTTTCTAGACATCATTTTCCATTGCAAGCTGTGTGGGTGTCTTTGCGTTGCTTGTTTCGCCTTACTTGTCGATGGGTGATGATCAGAGAAAGCCATACCGGTGGTAGTAGAGCAGCCGAGGTCAACAAACAAGAAATTTTCTTTTTTTATCAAACTCTTTTCAATAAATAACTTCATATGGAACATATGAAAAATTATTTTTGTAGAATTTTATATATAATTATGCACGATATATAGATGGCATTAGTATCGATGGGTAATATATTAGCGTCATCTGTTCACGTTTGCATCTGAATTGAAGTAATGTACTAAAACATTTTTATATGATGATTTTCATCTCATCATTGTTCCATTTTACGCATTTGCATTAGGAAAAAAAACAGAAAGTAATTCCTTGTATGAAAAACAAGAAGTGCTGCAGGGTTTTTAAATTAAAACCACCTTGCATTATGTCGATGTAAGAGAATCGATCAATAATGATTACTGCGCCTGTTGAAATTATATGGAACAGTAAATTAGTCTTAATCGATTTTTTAACCTTTAGAAACATCAAAGAACAAATTTTGATTCATCTTTTCCTTTCAGCTCAGGCAAAGAAATACGTATAACAATAATAATATTCTAATTGTTGAACACTCATATTGGATCTTCGTTGATCGATTATATTCTTTATTTAAATAGAAAAAAAAACTGAACGATGAATAATTGAATAGCATTAAGAGAAAGTTCTTGATTTTAACGTATCACATTCGATGAAATCTATAATTATTTTCTATACGATCAATATAGAATCTAAGTTAAACAATATAATTTCAGGTTCAAGTATAAAATTATTAGTATTTTTTAATGTTTTGATATTACTTTATAATTATCACAGTTTTGTTGCTCCTACATATCATTATAACCCTAGGTATGCGACTATAATATCTTTTTAATAACATCTATCCTTGAAGCTATAGAATGACATAGCTTCTGATAGTAAAAATAAACAAGAAAATATAGAACTTTCTGCACAAGATAAGAAACAATATTGAATCAAAGAAATGTATTATGATTAAATTATTTACTTGTCTTGTTTTTAATACAATCAATAACAATTTGCATTCTTATTGAAAGTATCTTATATAATAGTTCAATTACTCTGTATTTTCTATAGATCTATTTTATTTATCTCGTTGTAAATTGTATTGTACTAATTGGTTAAGCCTGGAACTTCACTTTCCTGTCTTTACTCGTTACTTGATGTTCTATGTATCAGCTTGATTATATTTTTATATAAATCCAGATTTTTTATATACAGAAATCATCGAAAAGCAACCCAAGTAATTGGAAAAAAATATATTAGAATATTCGATTACATGTCTATTTTTTGCCACCAGTAATACGACGTGGTGGTGGTTTATCAGTTCGTGTACCGGTAGTTAGATGAGCATTAGCATCGTAAGGATTTGGTGGTGCACGAATGCTACGTGAAAGTTTATTCTGAAATAAAAAGAAATAAAATAGAAATAGGATTATATTTATTATTATCTATTTACTCGTTCTTGATAACGACGTTCATAAAAATCTAATTCAGATTCACCGGGACGTCTCATTTGTGATTTTGCTTCTGCACCTTTGAAAACAAATATAATCGTTGGTATATTTCGAACAAAGAACTTCTTTTTTTATTTACTATTAGGATCATGAGATGCATGTGAACGAAGAATTGGGTGATCCATAGCAGTTATTGGTTGATTTAGAAATTCATCATCAGGTCGTCCTATTAAATATAAAAACTTCTGTTTTAATATGCGTACAAAAATAATATTTTCTTTACCTCGTCCGCTAGGATCAAGTCTTAAATAACCTTCAGCTAGGGAACTAAATCCTGTCAAACCACCCATTGCTTTGTATGGTGTTGCATAACCTGTGGGATGACCACGTTGTTCTCTTTCTTCCTTTGATTCAACCAAAGTTATATGTTTATTTGCTGATTCACCACATGTACATGTAAATGGAGCAGAAAATCCAGTACAATTACAATCTATTACAAAAGTCAAACTTCAATTTATCTTTTTCCATACTAAATTTTTCAAATACTTTTTTGGCATTTATATGGTGGTCTTGTATTATGATTATCAAGTGAATGTTTACAACGACAATTTGGATCACTAGTACCCGATGCATTTGCAACATATTCAAATGAAACACAACGACAACCAGGTTGTTTACATGAAATAAGTATTGGTCGTTCAGTTGGTATTTCAGGGAAATCTGTTTTATGCTCAGAGAATCTGTATTAAAACAAGAACATTGATTTAAAGAATTTGAGTTTTTCTAGAAAATAGTTTACTTATGTCGACAAAGACATTTATGTTGTGGACCAATTAATATACAATCCATTCCTTGAGGGTTGACCCATGATACATATAACCGATTGTGAAGACGCTAAATAAAACTTCTATAATGTTAGATTCATATATATTTCTCCTATCAATAATAACGAAAAGAAAACAACAGATCATCTACGGAGTTTAACAGCTGGTATAATAATATAGACAAATACATCACTAGCACTGTAAAGTGATTAATATTTAGAAAATCTGAGTTAGTACTGCATGACGAGAACTGATAAATAGTTTTTAGCAATTTCTAATACAAAGTGATGCATAAAAATATTACAAGTATTTCTAAAATGGTATATCAATTATAGATGTATAAGGTTTAATGGGTATGTTACCTGGTAGAACGTATTAATAACGATTCAAATATAATAACAAGAACCGCTTACGGTTTAGCATATACAAGCAGGATTAAACAGATTCATTCATATGAAAGATTCTATTAGTGAAATGAACGGGACATCGCATGCAACAAGATTCATGTCAAATTAAGCTTAGCACTGTTATCATAGATAAATATCTTGACATACCCTAACAAATCTTTTGATAATAAACTAATTCTCTTGATAAATCTAAATTATTTTAAGCTTTCATTTTTTGATTAACTATAATCTTCGATGTTTCCAAAACAAAATATAGTTAAAAAACGTTTATGTTTTTACCATTGGTAGAACTCTTCTCTTATATTCTTCATATTCTTGAGGACTAAAAACTCTTCCCCCATCATCATCACCAACAATCCTATGGTAGAAAGAAAAAGAGAGTATAGTTTGAATTAATAATTCAGTTCGTATTGCTTACGCTCGATATTCAAAATAAGCATCAACGTCAGCTGCTGCATGCGAAGGCAAATTAATATATTCACCAGGAGCACGTCTTTGTCCACTTCCAGCCATATTAATAATCAATAAAATAATAGATATTTCATATTTTTGTATCTAAACAACCGATTCTGACATGATTTTCCGAAAGATGTCGCTATCGAAAATATTTTTAAAATTTAAATTATCAATCAAACGTTGATGAAAATTTAATCTTTGAATTATTTAAGACATATTTGATTTTTTTTTTAAATTTTAAAATTTTTTATATTTCTTAAAACTTAGATGTCGCTTTGAAAAAGATTCCATACTCCTTACCTTACCTTACCACACACACACCGTTTGCATCAAACCACCACCCCGTACCTTGAAAATCAGATGAAATCTCAAGCAATTCTTCGTCTTTGTTATTCAACTACTCGTTATAATCCATCGATATGTACTGGTGCTGCTACATCATATCAAGTAAAATTTTTATGAATATTTTTTAAATATTTATTTTGTCGTTTTAAAAAGTCTCGTCGATGCATTAGTTTACATGAATATCAAAGCAAAAAAATTCTTAATGAAAATAATCTCAATGTCCAACGTTTTCAAGTTGTGGATAATCCACAAGATGCTAAACGTGCTGGAGAAGAATTAAGTTTGTATAGTCCTTTACAGAATATTTTTCATATATTAGTAAATAAAAATTTTTTTAGTGAAAACAATTGCTAAAGAATTAGTTATCAAAGCTCAAGTTTTAGCCGGTGGCCGTGGTAAAGGAACATTTGATAGCGGATTAAAAGGTGGTGTTCGTTTGACAAAAGAGTATGATAAAAAGATCTTTTCTTCTTGCTATGGACATATTCTCTGGCTTTTAGTCCAGTAGAATGTGGTAATCTAGTTAAACAAATGGTTAAACATCGTCTTGTAACAAAACAAACACCACCCGAAGGTGTAGAAGTTCAAAAGGTTTGAATATTTCATCTTAAGAAACACTTGTAATATAGAATTTAAATTAAATTTAGGTTATGGTTGCTGAAGCATTAGATATTGCACGTGAAACATATTTAGCTATATTACTTGATCGTGCTTATGGTGGTGCAGTTTTAATGGGTTCACCAATGGGTGGTGTTGATATTGAAGAAGTTGCAGAAAAACATCCGGAACAAATTTTTACTGTAAGAGGAATATATATTGTTCTATTTGTCATTACTGAAAACTTTTAATTTATTTAGTCAGCTATTGATCCAAAGATTGGTTTAAAGAAAGATCAAGCTTTAGATATGGCAAAAAAACTTGGATTTAAAGATAAATTAGCTGATGAAGTTTGTATTTTATATTAAATAATTTCAAAATTAATTTTCGTATTAAAATAGGCAGCTGATCAAATTATGAAATTATATAAATTATTCTTAAAATATGATTGTACACAAATCGGTAACAATCTTAAAGTAGATTCTTGAAAACTTACTCGTTTTTTTTTCGTTTTAGAAATAAATCCATTTGGTGAAACACCAGATAAACGAGGTACGTTTGTATTTTGTTTTGAAATGTGAAGAAAGAAACCTTTGTTTTTAGTAATCAATTTTGATGCAAAATTAAGTTTTGATGATAATGCAAAATTCCGTCAAACGAATGTTTTTGATATGGAAGATACTGCTGAAAGTGATCAACGTGAAGTTGAAGCAACACGCGCCGGATTAAATTATATTGGTTTACAAGGAAATATTGGTTGTCTTGGTAAATTAAAATGCAATATTATTTTAATTTTCTGTCTATTAACATTTATTTCATATTTAAAATAGTCAATGGTGCTGGTTTAGCTATGGCAACTATGGATATTATTAAATTACATGGTGGACAACCAGCTAATTTCCTTGATGTCGGAGGTAACTAATTTATAACAACCATGACAGCATACTCAATCGATAGATCGTAACGAGCAAATTAAATCAACGAAACAGATTCTTCAATAGATTTGCCAAAACTATGCGTATTATGTAAAACAAAAATACGGTGATCTCTTCCTCCTTGCAATATTTTGATTATAGACTTCAAACAGTCATTACTTTCAAATGAGAATAGTTTATTGTAATAATTCAGAACTATTGACTAGGGACCTGCAGAATCAACTTTTTTGGCCCCGACTCCGAAAAACTCAGAAATTTTGTTAACAAAAAGCGACTCCTAGAGTCAACTTTTTTGACCCCCAAAATCCGACTTCGACGGAGTCGTAGTCATAATCGGGTTTCGGAGTACTCCGCAGCTCCCTACTATTGACCTACTTCTTTTTTGACACAAGACTATGCTTATTTTTCCCCGTCTATATTTTAGGTGGTGTAAAAGAAGAACAAGTACTTGATGCATTCAAGATTTTATTTACTGATAATCAAGTAAAATTGTTTACGATTATTTTTGCTGTACTATTTCATTTTGAAAACTTTAGGTTAAAGCTGTTCTTGTCAATATATTCGGTGGTATTGTTAATTGTGCTATTATTGCTAATGGCATTGAAAAAGCTTGTAAAAAACTTGGTTTAAAAATTCCACTTGTTGTTCGTCTTCAAGGTACAAATATGGATGAAGCACGTCGCATACTCAATCAAAGTTCATTCCCAATAACTGCTGAAAATGATTTTGAAAAAGCAGCACAAAAAGTTGTTTCATTAGTGAAGAATAGCAGTAAATAAACTTCCAAATGACTTTATTTTTTGTCTGGTAGATTATTATTTTGTTTCTTTCCATGTTTTATTCTTTACATTGAAACGTTGTTGATTTGGTCTGTGTCATTTTTTTTGTGCTCCTCTATATTTATGTCAACAACACCAGATTTTTAAAAAAAATAAAAAACATTTAAGAAGTCCAAGAATTTAACTTTCATATATTTTGCATCAAAATATGCATTATCGTTTAATAAAAACTTGCTATAGTTTTCACAAAAAAATTCTTACTAAACACCAATTTGTTCTTTATCCCTCATCCCATCACTTATTAATAAATAAAAAACAAACAGTCATGCTTTTGAAACATTTTTCAAAAAACAAAAATTTATCTAGTTTTCATCTAAAATTCGAACTAAAAAAATCTTTTTTGTTATTATTTTGATTTAATGTTGAAGTGTCATAAGCCATCTTTCATGTTTTTTACTATATTGTCTTCGTGTTTGACCATTTTCAATTAAACTTAATTTTGCATCATGTTCAACCGCACCTAAATTTAATTGTAATTCAACCATACGTTTTAACGGTCGAATAATATCATCAAATAATGTTGGTTTATCTCTTTCTGTACATCGAAGTGCATATGCTATTGTTTCTAATGTTGATGCAGTTTCTTTTGTTGGTTGTGTACGTATAACAAATTCCGATTTTTGATCAATTTTAACATAACATGTTTTTAATTCTTGTAATTCACTATGACGATGATAAATACCCATGGCTTCATTCCATGTACCATCAAGTGCTATGATTGTATAATGATTACTTTCTTCAATAATATCATCTAATAGAACGGCATTAGCATTTGGAAAAAGTAAATATGCATTTGGATTTGAATATAAATCAGCATAATATTTTCGTGGAAATTGTCGTGCACGTATAACATTTAATGATGATGAATCAAGACATTTCGATAGTAATTGTACTGTACCTAATGGTCGTTTAATTTCATTTGGATGTTGAAATATAACAACAGATGTATGATCGAGATGAATAGGTGTTGGAGGTAAATGTGAACAAAGACAAACTAATTCTGGTCTTTGACAACGTGTACATATTGTTCGTTTAGGACCATTCCAATCTTCTTCAGATAAACCATCATCTAATTCAAATAAATATGTTTCATTATCACTCATCTAGAAATCAACGGAAAGATATGAAATAACAAGAAAAAAATATATATATTTGTTTTTTTTAAACGGCACTAGTTATCAAATTTAATGTTCGTTCTGTTAGACGAAATAAACATTTACGAATCACTGCATTTGTCCATAGACGAGATTGAGATGGACCAGTATAAATTAACTAAAAGTATTAATAGTTGACAATATCAGGAATCTATCTCAGAAAGTAAATCTTACTTGTCCATTAATATCTTTTGTAGAACCCGTAGATAAACTACGAATAAATAAATGTTTCGTATGTATTCTTTTAAGCATATTAATTAGAAATGATGAAAAATGTTCATCATTATCATTTTCATCATCCGATATCGATATTTGTGTAATAAATTGTGCTGTAGGAAATATTTCTCGTAATTTTCTTTGCATGAGTAATATTTCTTCATCAGAATATTTTAATAGATGACGCAAAATTTGTAAATCTTCGATAATAATTATTTCGGGTGATGCAATAATTTGTTGTTTAATCATTGTGCAAAGATCATTGACATTAATCGATGGTTTTTCATTGAAAAATTGTTCAGATAATGATGAAAATAATGGAATAAACATGAGAGGTAATGATGTTGATATATCAGATGTTTTAAGAACATTACCCATTTTACCTTGAACATGTTTCAGATGAGAAAATGGTGTTAATAAACTGATATAAACACAATTTAATGAATTTTTTAT